AAATCTATATGTTGCTTTACCATTTTTGCTAACCTGGACACTATATCCTCTTGAATAGCTACTCTAGCAGTGCCCAATATTGAATTCATATATTCCAGTTTTTTAAACTGAGGAATAAATTTCAGAAAAAGAATTCAGTATTGCTCTGTGAATGTACCTATCAATTCCATTTGTAATCTAACTTCTTAGATGATTTTGTACTATTATCTTTTTTTGTACTATATATATCTGCATAAGGCTGTAAAAAGCTTCAGTATATTTTTAAGCTGCATTCTAAAAAGGCTAGGCGACCAAACATGGCTTCCCCTGGCTTCTCTCTCTCTGCTATAGAGAGAGCATTCCATTAGGGACTGTTGGTCCAGGTAAGTAGTCATGGCTAGGAAAGATTTTTGTGCCACTACTGGCACAAAATAACAAATTCCCTTGGTTTGTTAATAGTATTTCCATTTTAAGTGTTTCTTTTTCAATTAATGAATTGTAATTATGAAAATATCAGCCATTCTTTTATATACACAGTGCAACATCTTTTTTATAGACTGTCATTTTCAAATCCACTTTCCGTTCTGTCTCATTCTTGTCTGGTGAAACTTGTTTCTCTTCCATAACATCTGTTAAACACTAACTAGCTATAGTGTCAGGGACTCTTAAAAGTAACTGAATATTATTGATCACTGTTCCTTGCCTGCTTTCTTTACTTGCCACTGCCTTCACCAGTCAACTTACAACAACTATCGAATCCAAACCACTGTTGATTTTTTTGCAGCATATTGCCAAGATGAAAAGGCAAATGAGTTTGTCTGCTTTCTTCGGCAAGAAAACAAAAGGAGATCCAAAGGAGTCACAACCACAACCATTGGAGTCTGAGGAAAGCAGAGCCAGCACATCATCCACATCAGGACCAGAGGAAAGAGCCAGCACATCATCCATAGAAGAAAGTGGAGCCAGCACATCATCCAAAAACACGACCAGAGGAAGGAGCCAGCACATCATCAGATACTGGAAGAGCTGAATCAGACATTGAAGGGAACCTTCCTGACTGCTGGACACTGCAAGCAGTACAATAATTTTAGGGAAAAATATGATGGACTGGATGTTTCCCATAAAAAATTAGGTTGCAAGTATTGCAGAAGATTTGAAATAAGTGAAATAAGAAAAAAGTGTCCACGGAGCTAAGGAGTGGAAGAATTACCAAATTGAACCATCTGGAAGGAGTAAAGAAATCCAACAAGCTTCCTTCAGAAAGAAATTGAAGGAACATTTCTCATCTAAGGCTCACAACATCTGTACAGAGAAGTTGAAGCAATGTGAGCAGGATGTCATAGGCAAAGGACTGGAGAAGATGAGTGAGAAATATCTGAGTAGTACATGTAGAGTGTTTATTACAGTGTATAGTCTGACACAAACGTGCAGACCATTTTCATATATAGAAGATCTGATTGAGTTACAAAAAAGAAATGGTTTAGATTTGGGAACAGGGTTGTATTCACGTAGAACTGCAGTTGCAATAGTAGATTTCATTGCAAAAGATATCAGGAAACATTTATTTACCAAAATTATTAAGAAAACTCGCAAAATCTGTTTGATAATTTATTTATTTATTTTATTTATTTTATTTATTTATTTGATTTGCCAATTGTTTACAAGATAATAAGTATAAATGTATACATAGTTGTGAATACATGAAATGGTTACATATAAGAAAAATAAAAGAATAAGAGAAACAATAGGACAGGGACGGTAGGCACGTTGGTGCGCTTATGCACGCCCCCTACAGACCTCTTAGGAAAGGGGTGAGGTCAATAGTAGACAGTCTAAGGTTAAAGTTTTTGGGGTTTGGGGAAGAAACTACAGAGTCAGGTAGAGTATTCCAGACATTGACCACTCTATTGCTGAAGTCGTATTTCCTGCAATCAAGTTTGGTGCGGTTTACTTTGAGTTTGTATCTATTGTGTGCTCTTGTGTTGTTATGGTTGAAGCTGAAGTATTCATTGACAGGTAGGACATTGCAATGTATGATTTTGTATACCATGCTTAAGTCAGACCGAAGACGGCGTAATTCAAGGTTTTCTAGGTCTAGAATTTCAAGTCTGGTGGCATAAGGTATTCTACAACGAGTAGAAGAGTGGAGAACTCTTCTTGTGAAATATTTCTGGACTTTCTCAATTGTGCTAATATCAGATACGTAATGAGGGTTCCAGACTGATGAGCTGTATTCGAGTATTGGTCTAGCAAATGTTTTGTATGCTCTGGTTAGTAGTGTGATATTACCAGAGAAAAAGCTACGTAGGATTAGGTTAACAACTCTTAATGCCTTTTTGGCTATGTAGTTGCAGTGTGCTCTAGCACTTAGATCATTAGAGGTGAGTATTCCAATTGACGAAGCCTCAACAATATCTTCCAAACCAGTTCTTATACTGTACTTAAAAGTTGAAGGTCCAGCTTTCTCACCAACAATTTTCCTTTGAACTAGTAGAATTAGATAAACAAGATGCAGAGACGATATATTGTTTGGTTATAGAAAGTCTGAATAAAGTTGGGTTTAATAGAAACTATCTGGAGAAACATTTAATTGGATTTTGCTCTGATAGAGCCAGTGTTATGCTTGGGAGAAAATCTGGCGTAAGCACTAGGATAGCCAAAGAGTTTCCAAATATTATAATATGGCACTGTTTAAACTATCGTCTGCAACTTGTTTTAAATGATTCTATTAGGGATATAAAGCAAATCAATCATTTTCAAATTTTTATTGATACAATATATTCTATTTTCCATCAATCGAATAAGAACCTAATTGAACTTAACAAAATTTCCAAACAACTTGATATTGAAATTATAAAAATTGGTAGAGTTTTTGGACCAAGATGGGCTGCCTTTAGTTTAAGATCAACCCTAGCTGTGTGGCTGGCTTTATCCAGCGCTACATCAGTTTTTCTGTTCAAATAAAAAATACTCCGGTATGGCTGCCCGTCTTGAAAACTTATATTTTCTCACTGATTTGGCCTTGATGATTGATGTGCTAACTGAAATATCTCTCCTTTCTAGTGCATTGAAAGCGAGAAACATAGACATTATAAAGGCTGAAAAACTTGTGCTAAGGTCAATTAGATCATTTGAAATGCTTATAGAGGAAAAGGGTTCATATGAAAATAAGGTTGATGAATTAATTACTTCAGAAACCTTTAAAAACATAAATTTTATACAAAATCATCGATTTGTGGGACTTCCTCGTGAAAAACTTATACAAAGCATTGTAACTAATTTGAAGAAAAGATTGATGGATTGCGAACATTTAAAAACAGGCTGCCAATTTAAAGACATTGATCAATTAAAATTTCTAAATTATTTGGAGCCAGATTATTGGAACATTGAAGAAGTGGTGGTTCCATGGAGAGCAGCTGAAGGACAATTGGTTGCATTTGGTCAAATTTTCAATTATGAAATCAATATTAATGATTATTGTGATTTCATAGAAAATGTACTAAAAGATTCTAAAAATTATACAATTCCTTGCAGCGTTAAAAAAGGCTAAAGATATTATTAAAACTATTGCAGTCAGTTCAGCAGAAGCAGAAAGGGGCTTCTCACAGAAGAACATAATATGTTCAGAAAGCAGAAGTCACCTTACAGTTTCCAATATTACAAACCTCCTGACCCTCAGTCTAATTGGCTTACCTCTGCAAGAATGGGACCCTGTTCCTATAGTAAAGAAGTGGTTTAGGGCACATCATCACACAGCTGATGATGCTCTTGTTAAACACCAGAAAACTGTAACTCAGGACGATAATAGAAAAGCAATTTGGGAGTACTTTAAATAATTTTTGTTTTTTGTAAAGTTTTGTTATGTAATAGTTTTTGATTAATATTTTAAAAAGTTGTAACAATATAGTTTTGTGTGCCTTTTTATTATTTAAGCATTAAAAACATGACATAATAAAGTACCTTTTGTTTTGGTATATCTTTTTTAATACTTAGTCATTAGGGCAAAGAAGTGATGTTAAGTTGGCCCCGCCCAGCCCTCTGCAGACCTTCCCGTAGCTGTCCGTGCCTCGCCTTGCCCTCTTCAGGGTTCTCCAGGACTTGGAAACTGGCCAAAAGCACTGGCTAAGCAATTGGCCACTAAGAAAAGCACCTGGTCATTAAGTGTGGACCACTTAAATTTGGGTTTCCAGCCACATGGCCACGCCCACCCACCACATGACCATGTAGCCACACCCACCCCAGTCACATGACCATGTAGCCACGCCTAATCAACAAACCACTCCCACCCGTCACATAACCAACAAACCACACCCACAAATTAGGCCACGCCCACAGAACCGGTTGTTAAGAAATTTGAATCCCACCCCTGAGGTGGATCCCGGCAGCATCAGTGACGCTGGCTGCCATTCAGAGATAATACTGTCCCTTAAAGAGCTGGAAAATATCAGGGTGGGACAATATCTGGGAAAGGGTGTCCACGGTTAATCCAATTTTGGAGCAAAGACACGTGAGGTGGGTGCATATGTGTGCGTAGACACGAGTGCTTAAACCGCGCCTCTCCCCACCCCCCCCACCCCCAACGCCAGTAAGGCGTGAAAAAGGCGACACGAGGAAGCGATTGGATTACATTGTCATGATTATTTTTTTTTAATAATTCATCGGCGAGGTAAATCCAAAAGCTGGCGTAGCCGAGGTTCCCTCCCCACCGCATCTCTTCCTTCCTCTTACAATTGGATTGATGGACTCATTTTCGCTTATTCGGTAAAGAGAAAGCAACGGGGGGTTGTGGGGGGGCGGAGAAAAAGAGAGGAAGAACGCGCCGCTGCCCTTTTTTTTTTTGCTTCCTTTCCTGCCATAGCAGAAAACGAGGGAGGTGCAAGAGTGTGATCACTTTAAGACCCAGAGGTTTCCCCCCCCTTCTTTCTCTTCATTTCCCCCCCCCCCCCCCCCCCCCCCCCCCCCCCCGGTTTTTTTTTTTTTAAAGGAGCGACAGGCTGTGGCGTTTGCAGAAGGGTTTGGTCTCCGTCATCGCGCTGCAAAAGCGAGCGAGCGAAAGCGACAAGAAGGGAGAGGAAGAGGAGGAGGAGGAGGAAGAGGCTGGGGGGGAAGAAGGGGGAGGTGTAACACATCCGACGAGCCGGCTGCCATGGGCCTCAGCTAATCCAGACCCTTCGGAGGATCTGCCTTCCCGCTGCGGGTCAGAAGCTCCTTGGATTCGGTTCTCCTCGCCGCCCCCACCGCCGGTTGGTCACATTTTTCCTTCACACACAATGAACGGTGCCTGCTAGAGAAGAAGCAGCGTGCCGCGCCGCCTTGCCCCTTTCGGGTTCTCGCGATGTGATTCTATTGCGGCTGCTGGAGGTGAAGGAGGAAGAGGAGGCAGCGTGGCCGGGGGTGGGTGGGGGGGTGGAGGAAGCCTGAGGCTATGTGGTGTCAGCGACACCAGAAGATTTGGTGAACCATGATGAAGACTGAGTCCCATAATACTCCTGGCGGCAGTGGCACCAGCAGCAGTGGGGGCAGCACCACCGGTGGCAATGGGGCTGGAGGCAGCCTGAGGAGTGCTTCACCTCACCGGAACGCCTACGAAGCTGGCATCCAAGCTTTGAAAGCCTCCAAGGATGCCCTGGGCCAAGCTGACAGTGAGGAGGCCAAGAAAGCCAGGAACAAGAAGTATGGGTCCAATGTCCATCGGATCAAAAATATGTTCCTGCAAATGGGCACTGCGCCTCCACCAGGGGAGGGAGCAGTTGATCTGGCCAAGATGAAGGAGAAGCCAGTCCGGTTGTCCTTGCCCCGGGCCAGCAGTCTGAACGAGAATGTGGACCATAGCGCGTTGTTGAAACTGGGCACCAGCGTATCTGAGAGGGTGAGCCGGTTTGACTCCAAAACAGATAAGCCATTGTCCAAGCTCCAGGAGACACGGAAGATCTTCGAGAGGAGCCTGCAGGAGAAGGAGACCACCAACAAACTGCTTCTGAGGAAAGAGAGAGCTGGCTTCCAAGACCGGAAGTTGGATGTGGTGGTGAGATTCAATGGCAGCACAGAATCCCTGGACAAACTAGACACAGAGGCTGTGTCTCCCACTGTAAGCCAACTCAGTGCTGTCTTTGAAAAGGCTGACCTGAGGAATAATCTCCATAAAGCCCCTGGCAAAGTTGGGCCTCTCAACTCCAAAATTGTTAGCAAAAGGTCCAGGGTTTTCCTCCAGGCTCCAGAAGGAGGTGCCAAGGTGGAAACCAGGAATAGTGATGGGCCTGCACTCCAAGTGAGAGCAAGGTTGCCTGAGACTGACAAAGCCCAAAACAAGCTGGTTCCCACTGGGTCAGTAGCAGCAAAGCCAGGGGATAAGGATTCCAACATGGGGCTACGTCCTCAGAAGGTCCAAGAAGTGCGCAAGATCAAGCCTGTGGAAGTGGAAGAGAGTGGGGACTCTGAACAAGAGTTTGAGGCAGCTGAGGTGGCAGTGGCGGCAGCAGCAGTGGCAGATGAGATCAGCAAGGTCTCTAAGGGATCTGACCCTCTCAGGGCAGAGGTGATTCAAGCTGAGGTCACAGTGCATGCGGCCTTGGAAAATGGCCAGCTGGGTGGTGAAAGATACTTAGAAACTCCAGGCCCATTGGCAGACACTTATTGTGAGGAAGTGACCAAGGCTGAAGGACCAGAGGAGAATGACCTGGGTGATGAGTCTAAGAAGGAGGACTTCTCTGAGGCTGACCTGGTGGACATTAGTGCCTACAGTGGACTGGGGGAGGATTCAGGAGGGAGTGGGCTGGATGAAGATGAAGATGGTGATGGACTGTATGCACCGGAATCTAGCTGTGTCGAGATCTCTGGGCTGTCAGAAGAGGATGAGGCTGTTCCTAATCGCAAGATCCACTTCAGCACAGCCCCAATACAGGTAGGCCTTTGAATCTAGTATTTATTGTGACTGTAAAACACACCTGGATTCTGGTGCTGGTCCTTGGACATGGTTGTTATTAACAACATGAAAACTCCAAGGATCTGCTTTGGGGCCTAGTTTTCACAAAATAGCAATGGAGACTAAAAACCCATGTTCTGACTATAGTAAACATATTTGAGATCTCTAAGTGAGAATAATTGGGAAGTCTCCTTTTTCATATAGAATTGCTGTTCCTTTATTAAATACAATTTTCTGGATGAAAGGAAGTAGCCTATCCAGAAGACATTTTAAAACCACAGATTCTCTTTGGTACACTTCTCTAGATGGGGAAGTTTGTGCAAGGGAGATTTTGCAGGGAGATCCTTCAGATGTGCAAATCTCCACCTTGCATCTGAAATAGCTTCCAAGTTACAGGTTTACATCTTAATTTTGGGAAAGCCTACATCTCTTAGGCAAAGAGGACCTTTTCATCAGATCCTCACAAATGCCTATTCTTGTAAGGCCTTGATTTGCAATGCTTAAAACAAATGTCCCCTTAATTCATTAAAACCTATTAGGAAAGCATTTATATTGGCTTTTGTTTGTGCATTTAAATATTGAAGAGAGAATGTAGCAAAACTTTATATCCTAGAGGTAATGAAACAGGGATACTTTTGATAGGATTAGCCTTTCACTTGAGTTAAGAATTGAATTAGTGAATTGCCTTTGCAGGTTATATATCAACAAAGATGATTTTAGAAAAATATACCAATGTCATGATTGAAAGTGCCATCATGGATCTCACCAATGTTTTTCCCCCTCTGTTTTATGTGCAAAAGCCAGGAATAGGAGAAGCAGGGAAGGGATGGTGACTTCAAACAGCATTTTCTTGTTTGACAATCCAACAGACTTAGAGATGCTGAAGAGACTTGATTTTACAAAGGAGAATGGGAATACACGCACTGTTTTTCATTTTCTTTTTTGAAAAGCATGGCTTTTATGAAACACTAAATTAGGGAAGGTATATAAATGGACCCTTTTGCAGCAGGCTGCTGCTAGTAAGAATAACACATTTGATGTGAAATCTCAGTTTCTCACATTTCATCAACCTAGTTGGGGCTATGCATCTCTCTCCCCCTCCCCCTTGTGTGTGTGTGTAGTGGTGGGATTAGTCACTGACACAAATAAAGGAACATACACCATTGCAATCTGTTCCCCCCTCACTTCCCCTTTGGACTCTTTGATTAGCTACGTTCCCACCACCCCATATCAAACAAATCAGAAGAATAAAAGGCATCACAGGCATAATTTCCCAGACACTAAGACCCATTTTGCCAAGGTAGATCAGAGATGGGTGGGCTTTTGCTTTTCCACAGGAAAAGGCAATTGAATTGAGAGAGAAATGGACTCCCATCCAGACAAAAAATATTACATGCAGGGATATAACTTTTGATGGAATCTAAGTGAGATTGCTCAGGTTTATATACAGCAGGAGGCCATAATAAGGTTTGTTTGGTTTCAGCTCAGTATGATGAACTGAGTGACTGTAAATCATGATTCAATTTTATTATGGTAGGATTTATACAAGACGGTGTACTCACCATGTTAATCCTTAAATCCAGGTTAATGCAGTATAAATGTATACAGCATGTAGTGCCCAAATAAACTATGCTGGCTTATTATGGATTGTCTTAACTCATATAATATTCTAAGATAATGTTTGGGTTCCCAAAACATGCTGAAATACCAGTTATCCAACATCATATTGGCCTAGTTTAGCATATTATGTGAATCCTGCCCATTTAATAAATTTAGTAACTAACAAATCAAAATGTGATTTATTAATTATGTGAAATTATGTGAACTAGAGTACTGTGTCATCATTATTAAAACATGCCATAGGTTAGCACAATCTGAACAATGTATAGATAAGCATAGAAAAGAATTTGGGAGTTGTGAGTTAAGTTTCTGCAAGTTAGAAATGGGCATGGATAAGTACTTCACTGCCAAAGGTAACTTGGCTCCTGTCAGTATAAGCTTAGATGCACCCTGAAAAAGTCAAATACCTCTTAATTAGAGGTGGCATAAATACTGGAACTTTGGGAGACAGTCTAATTGTTGTGTATTGTTTGGTGAATGTCATTGAAGAAGGGACATATCTGATAGGCAAGCTTTTGTGAACAATAAATCCATTCAAGTTCCAGGGAATTCAGAACAACAAAAATGGATTCCATATATGAACTTATTCGTCAGGAAGGTTGAACAGTTGTAGTTCAACAGGTTTGGACAATAAAAGCTACTGTGATCTTTAGTTTCAGAATACACCTTTCTTGGTACCCATTCACAGCTCCAATAACTTACATTAAATTACATCTAATTTTTAAAGTAAGATTTTTTTCAATGGAAAGTTGGCATACTCCAAAGCAAAGAAAGTATCCTTATCCATCATCAGTATTAATTTCAAAAATATATGTATACCTTATTTCTTAGGAAGTAAAAGTATGGATTGGATGTAATTCATTACTTAAGAGTAGAGATATTTCTCCTTGTACACATAAATGAATCAGGTGAGAGCATTTTGCCTGAGGTGGGTAGAGAGCGATGGTAAGTAACATGCTTGTAAATCAGTGCTTTATAACTGGTTATGTTCTTCCATTATAGCCATTTTGTGACTGGACAAGTGTTCCTAACAGCATAAAACTTTTAGGGACCTGTGCTGTAAAAAACTGATGACTGCCATCACCAGGTTGCCTGATGATGTCTGTCCTTTCTGTAGTGACTCTGGAAGCTTGTGAAGTTAAGTATGTGAGATATTGGAGGTTGAAAGAATTTTACCAAATTATATTAAGAGATCCTATATTAGAAGTTATATTTGTTTTGTTTTGTGCTATCACAAGTTTGCAAAATACTACTAGTTCGTAAAAAATATTAAACGGAGATATGATAGTTGTCTATAAATATTTGAAAGACATTCACATCCATTTGGAAATGGCCCAATTCAATGTTGAAACTGAGAATAGACTAGAGATCAACAGACCGAAATTAAAGAGTTCAGACTGAGTATTAAGAAGAATTTCTTACTGATTAAAGCTGTTAAAGCAATGAAACATGATGAATAATGATGGTCTCCCATCATTGCCCATTGGAGGTTCTTAATCTGGAACTAGATGGCCACCAATTTACCATGTTTCTCATAAAATAAGGCTGGGCCTTATTTATTTTTTTTGACCCCCGAAAAAACGGCTAGGCTGTCTTTTCGAGGGGTGACTTAATTTTCCCCCCACTCGCACCCTCACCTAGAGTGCCCCACATGCAGACTCTCCTCGCCACTGGGCCGCTTCTATTGGCTGTTAGGAGTGCCCTGCGGGCAGCTACACCTCATCACCAGGCTGCTTTTATTGGCCATTAGGATCGTCCTGTGGCAGACTCGCCTCGCCACCAGCCGCTCCTAACGGCTGTTAGGAGCGGCTGGTGGTGAGGTGAGTCTGCCCGCGAGGCACTCCTAACGGCCATTAGGAGTGGCTGGTGCGAGGAGTGTCTGCCCATGGGACGATCCTAACAGCTGTTAGGAGCGGCTGGTGGTGATGCAAGTCTGCCCGCGGGATGATCCAAACAGCTGATAGAAGCGGCTGGTGGCAAGACATGTCTGCCCGCGGGACGATCCTAACGGCCATTAGGAGCAGATGGTGGCGATACGAGTCTGCCTGTGGGACACTCCTAATGGCCAATAGAAGTGGCTGGTGATGACGTGAGTCTGCCCACGGGGTGCTCTAGCCGAGGCTGCCCACGGGATGCTCCTAATGGCAAGTTTCCACCACCCCCACCCTTCCCCCCGTCCTTCCCCCCATTTCTCTTCACCTTGTGTTGTTCAAGCGATGTGAGAAATGGCAGGGAACACATGCTTTAAATAGGCCCAAATTTTGGGAGCAGGGCTTAATTTCACCACATGCATATAAAACAGTGCTGGGCTTTCTTATTGGGGGGGCTTATTGTTGGAGAAACATGGCAGTAGACTTCAACTCTTATATCCCATAGTTCTGAGAACATTTCTCTTGGGTGAGACCATTTTGGATTGTCAAATATGCTGGTACTTGATCCATTCTTGCTGTATACATGTAGGTTGGTCTGTCTGTGGATGGCTTTTGCTACACGGAGAAGTCTATCTCAGAAATAAAGTATGTGATCCCAAATGCTTAGAATGCTGGTATACTCTTTGTTCTGTTCTGTGCTCATCCAGACACTTGATGATGTTAGAATGTTTCTGCCACACAGCTAAATGTGAATATAAGGAGGAGGCAGTGATTTGAGGACAAGGTTAGCAATTGTCCTACCTTTCACATATTCAGTCAGTGTGTATCCTGCCTTTCTGTTTGTTTCAGTAACATTGGGGAGGGTGATGCAACCATCTCAACTGGCAGATTGTTGTTGGTGGCAGCAAGGTATCAGAGCAGAAAGCAGTGTTCCTTTAGGTATATTGGAAAACATTGTTCCATCCCACCCTTTCTTTTCATTCTGGGTAAAGCGGTCAGGGGTACTTGCCAATCTCTATTACATATGACCCAAATCCCATGAAACTGAATCGTAATATGTGAAATCAAAGGCTGGCCCTATAATAAAAGTGGCAGCCTTTCATGCTCCATTTGCCAGCTACTGTCTAACATTTAGCATCAATTCTAGGTTACAAGGACAGACCCTAGGGGAAGAGGACTCACTGACTATTGCTCCCTTTCACCTTTCCCTCACTTTCCATTTACTTTAGATCAGAAGTCAGCATATAGTGCACATAAAGAACTATGTAATCTCACCCAAGATACAACTTAGCTCGGGCAATCTCCATGGGGTAGAAGCCCCAAATTTAGAGTGCAATTCAAGACTATAAAAAAATGCCGTTGATTCAGACCAAGTCATGCATAGCACCTTGTTTACAATAGTGACTGTCTAGAGGCTGCTACAAAATAGAGCATAGAGGTAATACAAGCCCTTGACTTACAGCCATTCATTTAGCAGCCATTTGAAGT